AAAAAAATAGGGGAAGGTACATTGGGGGAGGGAGTATTTCACAGTCACCTTGGCATTCACAACGTCATAATGCCATGTAAATCCTGCCATTCCATCAGCCATGCAGCGATCAATGCCAAAAAAATATAAGTGTCGAGGCGTTCTTATTTGGCGTTCGTGAGCGCAACTTCCACATATAATGACCGTCGATTCGCTCTCAATCAATGATGTGCAAGGTACAACGACGTAACTAGTCCACGACGCATTGAGGAGCACATTTACTTGACAGAGAATTGTACTATTTAGAGCAGTCTTTTCCACTTAAAAGCACGCCAATAGCCATGTGAGCTGGTTTGATCGTATCTAATACCTGTTTCAATATCTTCAAATGTGAAACATTTGCTTTAAGATACTACCAACTATAGCTCCCAGTGCGACACTATCTTGCCTGACGTCACATTGTCACCTAGCTCCGCCGCGTCGCTGACAGCCACCGGCGACGGTGCCCGCGCCATGCGCAGCGTCGGCCGTCCAGAACTCGCTTTCATCACGCCGCGGGCGCCTGGCGTGGGCTCGACCTCCGCCGGAGCCAGTAGAGCGGATCCGACGGTAGCGCGTGCCGTGCCCGGGCCGGGTACGAGTGTCGCGCCGGGGCCGAGTGAGCGTGCCGTGCCCGGGCCGGGTGCGAGTGTCGCGCCGGGACCGAGTGAGCGTGCCGTCGTGGCCGGGCCGGGTGCGTGTCGCGCCGGGGCCGAGTGGCGTGCGTCGTGCCGGGCCGGGTGAGTGTCGCGCCGGGGCCGAGTGGGCGTGCCGTGCCCGGGCCGGGTGCGAGTGTCGCGCCGGGGCCGAGTGGGCGTGCCGTGCCGGGCCGGGTGCGAGTGTCGCGGGGCCGAGTGGGCGTGCCGTGCCCGGGCCGGGTGTGAGTGTCGCGCCGGGGCCGTGGGCCTGCCGTGCCCGGGCCGGGTGCGAGTGTCGCGCCGGGGCCGAGTGGGCGTACCGTGCCGGGGAGAGTGCGTGTGCCGGAGCCGGAGGAGGGAGCACGTGCCGGGGCTGGGTGTGGGTGCCGTGCGGAGGACGAGTGGGCGTGCCGTGTCGGGACCGGTTGCGCGTGCCGTGCCAGGGCCGGGTGGGCGCGCCGTGCCAGGGCCGGGTGGGCGCGCCGTACCGGGGAGGGTGCGTGTGCCGTGCCGGGGAGGGTGCGTGTGCCGGAGCCGGAGGAGGGAGCACGTGCCGGGGCCGGGCCCGGATGCGCGGTGAGACAGGGGACGGCTGCCGTGCCTAACCCGGCCGTCCTCAGACGCGGACTGAGCCGGCCCGGCCTGGCCAGCTGACCACGCGGGCGCCTCCTCTCGGACAGCGATCCTTTGATGAAGCGACGCACCTGCGGAGCGGCCGTCGACACCAGCTGGCGCGCTGTTTTGACAATTGTGGTTGGTGGATAAAGTTGCTAAACGTGTTTTCTGTGTAAACGAATCTGTATGAATGAAGGACCATACTTTTACTCAGACAAAAGGTTCTCAGAAGTGTGCTATTTTGGAGCGACTCGAGCTGGCGACTCCGTTCTACTCTGCTGCTGAACGCCCATTTGTGTTTTATGATCGGTGATAATATATAGATAGTTAGTTGGTGATAGTAGATAATAGTCCATAGTTTAAACCCTCTATATGCGGGTTGATAGCAGTGTATAGATCTTGCATTCCGTAGGTTCTAATTCGTTTACATATAAACCTGTTAACCAATGACGACTGCTTTCAATGTCAGCCTAGACAAGTGTGCTTTGCCTGGCAGCATGCTAATAAAAACACAGCTTATCTGTTCATGAGCTTACAGAACGCTGCCAATCATCTCTAACGTTATTTTACATAGGTTGATGTTCGTTTATAAATACATCTGTAAACTGATGGTGACCGCTTTTCAATACCAGCCTACACAAGAATGCTTTGAATACCAGCATGCTAATGAAAAGCCAGCTCATCTATTTACAAGCCTGCTTAGCATTGCCAACCGTCTTCTTAGTATTGCATGGCAAGCGGAAGCCAAAATATTGGCGTTCTATGGAACTGGTTTGGGCAATACTCCATGCAGTTAATACAAGTATGCTCAAAACATCTTGCCCGTTTTTCCAGTGTGTTCCTCGGTGTTTATTCACGCGGGCGTGTATGCCCGTGTGCCTGCATTGAATTACCGTGATCAGCATTGTTGTGGCGCCGTCTCGGGACTTCACCATGACGACTGCAGCGCGGAGCAGAGGTGGTGAAAAGGCGGCCAGAATTAGCTTTTGGACGAATCCTGGACGATTTTTTCTTTACTTTGAAGAATTACTGTTAAAAAGCATGGCAAGGGAGCACAAAACTTTTCTCTTATACCTCACTGCAATCTAGATATTTTGCTGGGATGGAGGCCACCGCTAGGGTCAGAGCACAGTCTCCGCCCACCGCCTGATCGGTGCGGCCTTTGAGCCGGGTCATTGAAACTCATGCTGCAGACGCACGGACAATGACAGGGGGCTTTGCCGTGACGCAAAAAACACATCGCCCAGCCTGTACTCGGGCGCAAAGTTCATATTACGGCCCACAGACAACAAATATGTTTCGTTACTGGGTTTGAAAAAGCCTTTTGGAAAATCGTACAATCTCTTGTGCGGCTCCTTTTAGATTAAACGAAATGTTGCCCCAAAACTTTGGAGACTATCTCCGGACCATTTTATAATACTGTGGATTATATCTCCGAACTGTTGTACGAGCTGTGAACTATAACACTAGAGAATGAATTTAACGCTGATAATAGGTCAAGTAATCATAACTAAAATATAACACTGGATAATGGGTGCGATTCCAAAATTAATCTCTACCATTTCTGACATGGTAGTCTTATCAAGAAAAACTCCGACGGTACCTACCACAATACAGTTCAATAAAAGTGGCCTCCTTTCCAGGTTTCCAGACTATCGTGTGGCTGCAAAGCGACTACAAAAAATGAATAGCCGGCTATGCGTCGGCAGTTCGGTTTCCGGAACGTCCGCTCCTCGCTGACCAGCGGCCCCATCGCTGGTGAGCTGGGAGTTTCGAGGGGACCCAGCCGGCAGTTACATGCCGGTGACAGCGGAGCGGGCTGGCGGCCTCCCTCGTCACCCTCCAGGGCGGGGTGAGGGCGCCGCCTCCCCTGCCCGTTATCTGCTGTTTGGGCCGAGTTATGAGTTTGTTGCTCCGACGGCGACGAGTGACGCGCTCGGCAGCCCCGCCCCCGGCGGCCGCACGGCGGGCGCTGATTGGCTGCTGTCGTCGTCGGCGGACGCGCGTCCATTGGCGGCGTGCCGGCCGGCCCCGCCCATCGGGCGCCGGCCCGTGACGACGGACGGCGCCTTTCAGTGGGTCGGCCGTTCGTGTCGAGAGGCATTAACGGCCGCTGGCGACGTGTGAACATTTCATGAGCCCCGTGCTGCCGCCGCGATGATAGGTGCGTTTTATTAGTGGTGCCGCCCTCGCCGCGGGTGATTCGAGCGGTTTTTGTGGGCGCTCGGTCTGCGGAGACGCGTGGCCGCCTGACCGGCCCGAGGAGGCGGCGGACGGCGGCGGCGGCGGATGGCGGCGGCGTGCGGCTACTGACGCCGGCACGCATGGGACGAGGCGGCCAGCCACCTGAGCTCGCCGAGCGCCGCCCTCGCCGCGCGCACAGCGTCGGAAGCGATGTCGGCCACCCCGCCCGGTGGCGGCGCCTTCTCGGCAACCGGCGTGACCCCGTGTGGGGCCGAGCTGACCCCAGCCCCGGCCCCGGGGCCGGCCGGACCGACGCCGCAGGACTGCTGCTACACAGACTGGGCCGGCTGCAACTCCACGTTGCGCAACATTGAAGGTTAGTATGATGCGACGATGGACCAACATACGTACCAGATTGGGGGCTACGGGCTACATACAACAGCTTAGGATAAAACAGCAACTGGTGCTCACGTGATGCGGATTCGTACCACCAGACCAGCTGCCCAATAGCATCAGCCGTAAAGAATCACGCGCACTCCGTGTCAACGGGCTGGTGCGTGGAAAATACTAGGACTCAAGCTGAATTCGTTGATCGAGTCTGTGCTTTCCTGTCACGCAAAAAGAGCAATTCACGAAACAACCCCACTTTGGTGACGGACCGATACGTCCGACGTCACTTATAAAACGTGCTGGCTTGAGAGTGAACAAATGGGCACAATGTCGAAAGGATAACATCGCGGATGTCCAAGCAAACATTCACATGAGCCGGGCCGGGGCAGATCACAGATCACCATTTAAAAAGAAGACACGGGGTGGCGAGCTAAGCGATGGCTGTTTGTTTGGACTGTCTTTTTACCTTCCCCGTGTCATCTGGACACTTCCGGTGTGGGCCTCGATGGGCCGACAAAAACCGACTGTCAACACAGGGCTGGACGGCTGGGGGGCCACTGACGGCGGGCCGCGGCCCCGGCACGGCCCGCCAGAGCGGCTCAGGGCACTACGTGGTCCGCCAGAGCAGGTCAGGGCACGGCACGGCCCGCCAGAGCGGGTCAGGGCACGGCACGGCACACCAGAGCGAGTCAGGGCACGGCACGGCACACCAGAGCGAGTCAGGACACTGCACGGCCCGCCAGAGCGAGTCAGGGCACGGCACGGCTCACCAGAGCGGATCAGGGCACTGCGTGGCCCGCCAGAGCAGGTCAGGGCATGGCACGGCCCGCCAGAGCGAGTTAGGGCACGGCACGGCCCACCAGCGCGAGTCAGGGCGCGGCGCCGCGTCTCCCGTCGGCGCTCATGACGGCTCGCACCACGCGGCTCTCCAACGCCGAGCAGGGCACGCACTACACGGCCAGCCCTTCAGCGCGCTAGAGGCTGGCCGTGTAATGCGTGCCATTATGCTTCTGTTCGTGCCCCCTCGGCGCCATAGCACCAGCGCTGAGGTCAGCAGGCGCTGTACGATCCGCCAGCGCAGGGCAGCGGGCTCCATTCACGGTCCACCAGCGTCAGGAAGAGGTGAGCCCGTCTCGTGCAGGCACCGCCGCAGATCAGAGTGTAGCGGCACGGGGGCGCGACAGGAGCACGCACGCACGCGGCCCACCGGGCTAAAACACCGACGGGTCCCCCGGCAACACGCGCACGTGACGGCCGACCCGCGCGGGGCACTGCTAGGTCCATCAGCGCAGCGCAAGGCGCGCACTTCACGGCCGACCACAACTGAGCGGAGCACACACGGCCTGCGGGCCGGTCGGCGCGGGGAGGCGCACGCGCTTCACGGCGTGGGGAACAGGGCGAAGTGAAGCTCACGTTGCGCGGTCACCGGCGCAGTGCAGAGCACGCACTTTGCAACCTAATAACGTAACCCCAGGCAAGAGCTTACGCACAGTTAAATAATGGAAGGGGCAAGTTCAAGAATGCTCACTGAACTGTGGGGAATGAGCTTAGCGCGCCGCCGGTGCGCCATGTCATGCGTGGCAAAGCAGCATCGCATGTTCTCGGTCCTCTTATGTTTTGCGTGCATGCCTTAAATGTTTAACTGTCAACAAAAAGTATTGCACGTATATGGCCTACGCTAGGCAATACTTGGCAATACATGGCATATGCTTGGCATCGGAATCGCACCGCAGCCATTTTGCGCGCACGCTGCTGAGTGTAGGCACACGCAGCCAGAGGGCATTGTTCGCAGTGTGCGGCCTATCAACAGGGCTGAGAACAGGCAGAGCATAACTTGACGAGACACCGAACTGTGTGCACAACGTGACCCATTCGCACCGAACATGGGCGGAGAGCACATACAGAAGGTACTGCAAGGCTGCCAGAACATGCATTTTTTGTACCAAAACACAGAATATGCTGATTCCAGTACAAGCTGTTGTGGCGACGCCACACTGCAATTGCCAGTCATGGCGCCAGAGGCACCACTCACCACCGGCGCGGTGCTAGGGTGGGCTCGCACTGCTCGGGGAGACGCCGTGTCATGGTGCACCAGCGGGGACCGCGCGCGATGCACGGCTCACCAGCGCCGAGAGGGATAGACGCTGCACCTGTACCCGAAACGTTGCGCAGACTGTGCACTACACTGCTTTCCAGAATGACAGTGACGCATCCAGAGTTTTGTAACGGGGGATTCATGTTTCGCCCGCCTACAGTGAGATGGGGCCTCCTCAAGGTATGATCGGGCCCCGTATACAAATTATTGCTATGCTCTCGAAGCTATTTCATAAAAAGTATTTATTAAAGACAATCATGTGGTAGGTTACTGGAGTGCGTTTGGGACACGTTCAGGCTCTTGTTAGCCCAGTGTATTTCTGAGGCTCTAGCCAGTTTTGCGAAGCATCGCCACTGTACCCTCCTCGCGGGGCCCCGCGTAGACGCTAAGGAAGTCTACCCCCTTCCCTCTTCATACCAATGCCCCCTCGGATCCGTTTCAAAGCACGTCTTTTTAGGGCACGAGGGAGCAGGCGCCACGCACTCCTCCAGTCCAGGGATATCAGGAGCTCGGCTGGCGCAGGCGCAAGCACAGCTCGCTAGGGCAGCAGAGAGCGGGCGCCACACACTCCGCCAGTCCAGGGATATCAGACGCTCGACTAGCGCGGACGGTGGCACAGCTCGTTAGGGCACGAGAGAGCAGACGCCACACGCTCCGTCAGTCCAGGAATATCAGACGCTCGACCAGCGCGGACGGTGGCACAGCTCGTTAGGGCACGAGAGAGCAGACGCCACGCGCTCCGCCAGTCCAGGGATATCAGAAGTTCGGGTGGCACAGGCAGGTGGCACCCGGCACCACCGGGGATGTCACGTATTGACGGTCCACCGGCGGCAAGGACGGCTCGCAGGACTCATCTCAGTGCTTGTCATGAAGCCCACCAGTGACGGCGCGCCATGCACGTGCCGTTAGCTTCACGGAAGGCGCACATTTACAGGCCACCGGTGTAGGGGTGTCGAGCCGGCGCATAAAGGCGTTTCAGATCGGTCTTATGTCTGCCGATTCCATCAGCTAAACGAGGTTTCTCTTGGTAGTCAGACGCTACAGATCACTGTATTGCTTGGTAGTGGTTCTGAGCGGCTCGATGAGAAGGAATGCTGAATGTATGTACTCACATGAATAGGTAGTTGGATATAGGAATAGGCAGTTACTTTTCAGGCTTAATGCGCATTGGCACAGCTGCCTGGGGGCTGTGCCATTCTCTCAGTAACTCATGCGCGTGTCTGACTATGTATGATTACTATAATATTCCAGACAAAAATATTAGGGCCTTTACTATCATGGGGGAGGTGAGGGCGCAATTGGAGGGCCAAACCTGAACGGGGCGGGGGGGGGGGGGGGGTAGAACATTTAAAATAAAAGGAAACAACACCTTGTAAACCATAAGGCGCGTAATACAAATGTTGCATTTTCAAAGTGTTTGCAGCATAATGCGCATAGACAACATCACGCCTAGCGATCCTTAATCGTGATATCCAAACAAGTACAGCCTGCGATCTACATCATGTCTTTTTCATAATATTTGCTGCAGTATGCAATAAACAAGGTTCCATGTTAATGGGATCCTGGAATCTGTTCTGGGCTCCAGGCATATGTCTGATCAGCTCCATGAATAATGAACTAAATCGAGTTTGAAAAATCGAATCCTTTTAAATTCAACTGCGGTATCCTGCGAGTAGGAGGTTCTGTTACTGCCCTGTCTAAAAGATGCCGCAGGATGTAAATGAAGATTAAGATGATAAAATCGGAAAGTACGAACTTTTGGTCCCGATATTTTCAGACGGAGAGGCAAGGAGTTGATCAGATCAAGCGTAGTTTTGTTCGTCAAAAATGACAATTATAAGTTGCGTTGTTACGTAATATGGAAGCCATAACTCACCTTTTTAGCATTGTTCAACATTTCAAGTTTACAAAAGCCGTTTTCAGGAAGGACTGGAGTGTAAAACTTTTTTGCAACTTTTTAAAAACTTTTTCAGCGTTTATTTACTGATCACACACCTCTTATAAGTGATTTTCGGCTAGAAATGTTCTGCGGTGATTTAAATCATTTTTGTTAAAACGCATAATTTAACAAACTTGTGGTCAGCTGGCTATACACAAGATCGCGCTCCTATGGACAGGTATGATGCCAGGTCTCTTCATACCAAAAGTTTTCAAAACAACACGAACCAACATTTGATGGCATCTCTGACGCAGGTCTGACCAAACATACCCCTATGTCTTCGAAGCGTCTCTGTTATTAGGCATGCAGTAATTACATAGTTTACATACAGTGCTTACAGAGCTTGCTTGCAGTACACTCGTAGCTTGCAGGGCTTACATGCCTTAGCATGACCCAAGATGCATGATTTTTGAATGAAATGAGCCTCAAAGCCTGCCTTGCTACACACAGCACAGATGTAAGCCACAATAACACAGGCAGCATCCAACGTGTTCGATCGAGTCGTATCGCTGATTGCCAGGCCTAGTATGTTCCAATAATTTTGGGTGAACTGAAGGCGTGCGCTGAAGAAATTATATGACGGGTCTCGATAAATGTAACAAACTTATTCTTATTTGAATACATGTCATAAACCTATTGCATGTGAATGGGATAGCCTAAAAACAATGTTCTCCCTTTCAGAGTGTTGAATGTATACTAAAGTTTCATAGAAAGAGTTTAAAAGCTTTAAAAGCTTCTGTTCATGAATCCTTCATGGAAACGGCTAATGCCATCTTTTCCGAAGATGGAAGCAGCTGCCCCCTCCCGGCTCCCAACTTTTCTGGAGAGCACCTGGGACCCTGACATGGGGTTTCAGTCATGTGTGACACCGAATTATAACACGTTCATTGCCACACAACGCGTAGGTGTAATGTCAAATCTCTCAAAAGATATAGGACAGATTCTCGTCCCA